TAACTAGTGTAATTTGTTTGCCTGCATTATTTCAAAAAGACCATCTTTGAGATGAGAAATTCTTCCACTTGCTCTAGCCTGCTGCTTAAGCTTTCAATTGTAGTTTTTATCTCGTTGACTGAGTCTTTCAGCTCCAGTTCTGCTACATTCCTTTTTATGGTAATTATCTCTTTGTAAATTTCTTCCTTCATGTCCTGGATTGTTTTTCTCATTTCATTGTGTTATCTGAGCCTTCTTGTATCTCACTGAGTTTCTTTAAGATTGTTACTCAGAATTCCTTTTCAGACTTTTTAAAGGTTTCCTGTTAGTTGGGGTCCAGTATTTGAGAGTTACAGTATTCCTTTTCCTAAGAAAAATTCCATATTTTCTTCTTTTTTCCCCTGTATTTCTGGTATTCCTATGTTGATATCTAGTCATCTAGTGGAGGTGTTTTTTCTTCTATTACTCTGTAGTGGCTTTTGAGGAGAGAGACTCCCTTCTATAGATTTGTTTTATATTGCCCATTGGATGGGGTGTTTTAGTTTGGGTTCTTGGTAGACTCACTAGTCTCAGTAGTTCTGGGTAGTTTCAGTGGTTCTGTGGATGCTGGTGGCTGCATCTGTGGCCAGAGTTATGCAGACATCTGGGCAGGTGGGGCCACATGGGCGATTGGGGTGGCCAAACAGTGGGCCCATGATGACAGGTGGAGCCATGTGCACAGCTGGGGCCACGCAGGCAGCCAGGAAAGGACCATGTGGGTGGTGTGGGCTGCATGTTGGGGTGTCCTGCATGAAACAAACTCCTGTGCAGGGAGAAGGGCTATGGCTTTGTAACTAGACCATGGCACAGGCAACCATGGTGGTGGTGGGGGTGGGCTGGGGCCCGAGCAAGAGGAGGGTTATCACTGGGAAGTGCTCATGGCTGAGCAGATTCTTTCTGCTTCAGGGCAGAATTCCTCCTGCATTGATCCTGGTGTTGGAGATGTGGTGGCTGAAGCTGAGTGCCCTTCTCCTCTCTACACCACCCTGCTTGTTTTTTTGTGCTCCATGGGGTCCTCACCAGGCTCCTGCTGCCCTCACGGTCTCCCACAGATGTTCTCCCCTGTACTTAGCTGTCCATTCCTTGCTTTGGTCGATCCTTTCTGTTGGAGGACTGCAGGTTGAGCACTCTAGTCTGCTATCTTGCTCCAACTCTTTTCTGATACTATGCATAAGATGCGTAAATCTGCCATTGTAATTTTACCAATGGTGAAATCAAGGATCAGAGTTAAGTTAGCTAGCATCCTGAGACTTGGAAGGGAAAGAGATGCTATGAAAAGCATGTGCTTTTCTTAATATTTTCTCAACTGATAGATCCCTTTATTATATAATGCCCTTATCTTTTTTAAAATACTTTTTGGTTTAAAGTCTACTTTATCTGATACAAGAATAACTACTCCTGCTAGTTTTGGTTTCCATTTGTGTGGTATATCTTTTTCCATCCCTTCACTATTAGTCTGTATGAGTCTTTACAGGTGAGGTGGGTTCTTGTAGGTAGCATATGTTTGAGTCTAGTTGTCAAATCCATTCAACCAGTCTATGTCTTTTGAGTGAGAAATCCAATCCACTTACATTTAGGGTTGTTACTGAAAGGTATTGTCTTACTCCTGGCATTTCATTGCTTTTTGTATGGTTGTTTTAAATATCTTTGTCCCATTCTTTCCCTTTTATTGTTTGTCTTCATTGTGTTTTGGTTTTTTTGAGGTGGTATTATATAGTTTTTTTCTTTCTTGTTTGCATATCTGCTCTACCAGTCATGTTTGTTCTTTCTTGTGTATTCATGGTGATGACTATCACTTCTGGGGTTCCAGGTGCAGGACTCTCTTGAGGATTTCTGGAAGAGCTGGTCATATGGTCATATGGTGAACTCTTGCAGTTTTTGATTGTCTGGGAAATACACTATTTCCGAAGGATAGCCTTGCTGAGTATAATATTCTTGGCTGGCAGTTTTTTTCTTTTAGTACTTTGAATATATCATACCATTCTCTTCTGGCTTGTAGGGTTTTTGCTGAGAAGTCTGCTGTTAGTCTGATGGGGACTTTCTTATAGGTGACTTGACACTTTTGCTGTTTCTAGGATTCTTTTTGACTTTTGACAGTTTGACTGCTGTGTCTGAGAGAGGTCCTTTTAGATTGACTCTGTTTGGGGATCTTTGAGCCTCTTGGATCTGGAAGTGCATATCTCTACGAATACCTGGGAAGTTTTCCACTATTAATTATTTCATTGAATATATTTTCAATGGCTTTTCCTTTCTCCTACCTTTCCAGAACACCCATGATTAGGATGTTTGTGTGCTTACGGTTGTCTGATAGCTGTCACAGATTTTCTTCACTTTATTATTATTTAGTCTCCTTGGATTATTTTGAAAAGACCATCTTTGAGATGAGAAATTCTTCCACTTGCTCTAGCCTGCTGCTTAAGCTTTCAATTGTAGTTTTTATCTCGTTGACTGAGTCTTTCAGCTCCAGTTCTGCTACATTCCTTTTTATGGTAATTATCTCTTTGTAAATTTCTTCCTTCATGTCCTGGATTGTTTTTCTCATTTCATTGTGTTATCTGAGCCTTCTTGTATCTCACTGAGTTTCTTTAAGATTGTTACTCAGAATTCCTTTTCAGACTTTTTAAAGGTTTCCTGTTAGTTGGGGTCCAGTATTTGAGAGTTACAGTATTCCTTTTCCTAAGAAAAATTCCATATTTTCTTCTTTTTTCCCCTGTATTTCTGGTATTCCTATGTTGATATCTAGTCATCTAGTGGAGGTGTTGTTTCTTCTATTACTCTGTAGTGGCTTTTGAGGAGAGAGACTCCCTTCTATAGATTTGTTTTATATTGCCCATTGGATGGGGTGTTTTAGTTTGGGTTCTTGGTAGACTCACTAGTCTCAGTAGTTCTGGGTAGTTTCAGTGGTTCTGTGGATGCTGGTGGCTGCATCTGTGGCCAGAGTTATGCAGACATCTGGGCAGGTGGGGCCACATGGGCGATTGGGGTGGCCAAACAGTGGGCCCATGATGACAGGTGGAGCCATGTGCACAGCTGGGGCCACGCAGGCAGCCAAGAAAGGACCATGTGGGTGGTGTGGGCTGCATGTTGGGGTGTGCTGCATGAAACAAACTCCTGTGCAGGGAGAAGGGCTATGGCTTTGTAACTAGACCATGGCACAGGCAACCATGGTGGTGGTGGGGGTGGGCTGGGGCCCGAGCAAGAGGAGGGTTATCACTGGGAAGTGCTCATGGCTGAGCAGATTCTTTCTGCTTCAGGGCAGAATTCCTCCTGCATTGATCCTGGTGTTGGAGATGTGGTGGCTGAAGCTGAGTGCCCTTCTCCTCTCTACACCACCCTGCTTGTTTTTTTGTGCTCCATGGGGTCCTCACCAGGCTCCTGCTGCCCTCACGGTCTCCCACAGATGTTCTCCCCTGTACTTAGCTGTCCATTCCTTGCTTTGGTCGATCCTTTCTGTTGGAGGACTGCAGGTTGAGCACTCTAGTCTGCTATCTTGCTCCAACTCTTTTCTGATACTATGCATAAGATGGGTAAATCTGCCATTGTAATTTTACCAATGGTGAAATCAAGGATCAGAGTTAAGTTAGCTAGCGTCCTTTCTGTTGGAGGACTGCAGGTTGAGCACTCTAGTCTGCTATCTTGCTCCAACTCTTTTCTGATACTATGCATAAGATGCGTAAATCTGCCATTGTAATTTTACCAATGGTGAAATCAAGGATCAGAGTTAAGTTAGCTAGCATCCTGAGACTTGGAAGGGAAAGAGATGCTATGAAAAGCATGTGCTTTTCTTAATATTTTCTCAACTATCCAAGGCCTCTATTCACTTCCCCCCCCTAATTTTAATAATAGTAGATACTTATTATAGAAAAATTAGGAAAATACAGAAAAGCACAAGAAAAAATTAAATCACCTGTAGCCTCATCATTTAGTGATAAGTGTAGCACCTTGAGATTATACACTTCCAGTATTTTTAATGCGTATATATATTACAAGGGATCATAGTGTACATATTGTAATATTTTTATTTAACATAATTGTAATATTTTTACTTAACATATCATGAATGATTCATTTAATACTTAATTAACATCAGTTTCAACAGATTTTAAGACTTTCTGTACATTCATGATGGTTTCTGAAATATACATTTCCAGGTAGAATTTCAAAGTCAAAAGGCAATTCTTAAGGCTTCTGGTATTGATTGCCAGAGATAGAATGTGTTCACATCTCACTAGCAGCACGGAGACCCAATTTTCCTGAATGTTTGTCTGTTTTATAGGGAAAAGAGCCATCTCAACTCTTGCTTTAATATACATTTCAACTCTAGTGAGGTTGAACATTCAGGTATTGTTTACTGGCACGTGTTCTTTCATTATTTGCCTATTTAAATACCATTAGTTCTATTGGAAATTTTTCATGGGGAGACAGTAGAGAAGTGGCTCCACAACAGGGTTCCGAGTTCCTACTGCCTGGGTTCAAAGTCTAACCTTACCACTTTTTAGCTATATGATCTTTAGCATTCATTACCTCACTTGTGAAATATGGGCTGTAGTGAGAAATAACTAATAAATATATACAAAGCCCTTAGCAAGTACCTGTTACATTTTTTATTGATATATGTAAGAGCTCTCTTATACAGAGTATTTCCTTTTGGCAATATATCAACTCCTACTTAATGTCCTCCCTTTTCACTTTGTTTGGATCTTTCTCTGTGGAAAAGGAGGAAAATGAGTCAAGTAGCTCTTACAATATATTTTGTTACATTTTACCATCTTTTCCAAATGACCCCATCCCTTTTTTTCATATTCTCTCCAAACATGGGCATTTAGCCCTCCTGTCATTCTTACTGGTTAGCACATGCCCACTTGTATATGCCCCAAGAGCATTACTTCTCTTCATTTTTGTCCTCATGAAAATTCTTTTTCTATGCACAGGATTCTAGATTTCCATATAGATTTGCTTTTGGTAAGGTGTTATTCCTCCAACAATTAGGTCTTTTGAATAACATGTCTTTCTGTTTCTGATTAATGTGTACAACTTTCCACCTTGAACTAAGCACCAGCCTAAAGATACCCTTCCTGCTGGGTCACTCAGAAGAGAAGTCTCAACTGACCATGGCCATTACTGTCTTCATTTTCATTGTCTTTAACAAAATTTTCAAAAGATACTGTGAAGTATTGCTAACGTAAGAAAACTGAACGTGTGAGATTCCTGGAAAATAAGTCACTGACCCGGCAACTGACAAATATTTTTTGAGAACCTGAGCCCAAGGAAGTGTTCTAGGGACTGTGGAGATACAGCTTGAGAAACAAATAAGATGGCAGCTTCTGACCCAGAGCCTTGAGGATTAGGTGGAATGTGATAGCAACTCTGATATATCCTAAGACCAAAGGAGTCCTTACGTCTGGGAGAGGAAGACTTAGAACTCCAATAGACTCTTAACATCTAGGCCAGGCTCTTTCTCACCCTAATTCCCACTACTACCCCTATGGAAGTTCTAGGCTAGCCTACAGGTTGGGCAAGGAAACCACATAATAGCCCCTTCTCTAGGGTCACATCAATAAAGACAAAGCTCCTGATTACCCTGTGGTCCAAGGGCTCCGGGTTTTCTCTTAGTAGAAACTTAACATATTAACAAAACTGGCTCATATTTTGCTATAGGCACTGCTTGAGAATCTGGCTACACCCATGCTTCTCCTATAGACATGACCCCACCTCAAAAGGAAGTCAACAGGAGTGCTCCACACTTTCTTCCTGGCCTTTGTCTGTTGTTACCTCCACTGGAAACATTCTTCCCTGGCCTACCTGCCCCCCTCCCCTGGGTAACTCCTATTCACTCTTCAGGTCACTTTCCCCATTTCTTCTTCCAAGGTTTAGCTAGGTGCTCCTTAAGGTCACATAGCACTGATTACACCATAGTGTCATTACATGTTTGGTTACCTTGTCCATCAGATGGTAAAGGTTATGTCATTTCCCATTGTATCCCTGGTCCCTGGCACAAAGCAGGTACTCAAAAAATAATGGTTAGGTAAATTAATTTGTATTCTTCTCATGCCTCCTTAATTTCTGGCCTGTCCTAGGCTTGTTAAATAATTGATGAAACCATTCCTCCACCTTTTGTGCTGCCCTGTTACTGTTGTTAATTGGGTTAGTAAAACTTTTGAGTTCCTGAGACAAATTGTCCCTCATACTGTCCACAACATTCCCCAACCCTGGCACATTGACAGATGCAGTGACAGAGCCTGGGACACTACACCTTTTTGACATTCTCATAGAAAATGAGGTTTCAATGTTACATTCCCATTTTTCGTATTTCCTGAGTACTCCTAATGGTAAGAGAAAAGCTGGAAGTAGTGATTCTCCCGTCTTCTGATTACTAACAGGAAAAGCTTTCACGGGACAATTTGCACTAGCATTGGGAAACACTACACAAAGCAAGTTAGACTGACTCAAGACCTAGTAGTTTACAACCTTTATGGAGTCTTATTCTAAGATAAGACTAACTAAGATAAAAATACCAGTGAATTATTTACAACATTCATTGTATTCACAAGTTACTTTACAGTGTGTACTCTCTGATGGCGCATAAGGACTGATCTGTGCCTGAACGCCTTCCCACATTCACTACATATGTAAGCTTCATCCCCAGAATGGATTCTCTGATGCTGAACAAGGGCTGAGCTCCTTTTGAAGGTTTTGCCACATTCACTACACTGATAAGGTTCCTCTCCACTATGAATTCTCTGGTGTCTGATGAGATTTGAGCTCAAACTGAAGGCTTTTCCACATTCATTACATTCATATGGTTTCTCTCCACTGTGTATTCTCTGATGGGTAATCAGCTCTGAGCTCTGCCTGAAAGCTTTTCCACATTCATTACATTCATATGGTCTCTCTCCTGTATGAATTCGCTGATGTCTAATAAGTTTTGAGCTCTGGCTAAAGGTTTTCCCACATTCATTACACTCATAGGGTTTCTCACCAGTGTGAATTCTTTGATGTATAATGAGATATGAACTTTGACTGAATGCTTTGCCACATTCATTACACTTACAAGCCTTCTCACCAGTATGGATTTTCCGATGTCTAATGAGGGCTGAGCTCTGATTGAAAGCCTTCCCACATTCACTACATTCATATGCTTTCTCACCACTATGAATTCTCTGATGAATAATAAGATATGACCTTAAACTAAAGGCCTTCCCACAATGGTTACATTTATAGGGCTTTTCTCCAGTATGGATTCTCTGATGTTGTGTTAGAGAGGAATGCTGCTTGAAACTGTGTCCACATACATCACATCTATAAGGTCTCTCTTCTGTAGAAACATTCTTACATGTTATAGAGTTTGCAGTGAGAATCAAGCATCTTTCTGGCTCCTGATGATGGTCTCTCCTTCCTAGAGATTTGTGTGTGAAGATCATTTGACTAAAACTGCCCCTTTGGGAAGGGGATCTTAATTTTGCACCTGTAGTACTTCCCTGCTTCCACTCTAAACTGCTTTCGTGCTCACTAACTCCTCCAAATGAAGGTTCCTGAGGGAGTCTTTGTGATTTTTCTCCTGAAATGTCCTCCTTTGTTGCTGTTGCATTGTTCTCACAATCTGAAATGATAAATAGCAAAAAACAGAGTTTACATTTCTCCAGTCACTCTCAATACTCACTTTCTACGTGAGAGAAAACAGAAGCTTCTACCTACAAAGATGTCACTGTCCATGTATATGTTTTCTTCAGTTGGTCAAAACAGGGTCTCCTTTTCTAATGCTGAAACCTACATCTGTACTTTGAATTTCATCCTTTCCTGCCTCCTTTGGGACTTCAATTATCAATTACCTACTATTTCTTTCCTATTATTTTCAATCTTTTCCTCCATAATCCTGTTCAACAGCAGTTACATAACTCATGTCTCTCTCACCTTTTCAAATCAAGCTCCTTGCCTATACATCTCCCTCAAGCAACCTCACTCACTCCTATTTAAAGTTTCTTGAAAGGGTTGTCTGTACTCACCTCTTCACTCTGCAATTTTGTTTCTGCCTTCCCCCACCACTTCCACTGATGGTAGTCTCATAAAAATCACCAACTTCATAGTTGCTTCATCCAATGAATACTTTCTGGATCCTACTTAGTTGGCCTCTCTGCAGCACTGACATTGCGGACCACAATTTCCTTCTAGAGACATTCTCTTGCAGTCATATTAGCCTGATTTCTGTGGCCGTTTCTTCTTAAGATTATAGGGCTAGGCACTCAATCACTAGTGTTCCTCTAGATTCTGTTCTGAGCTCTCCTGTACCCTCACTCCACAAACTCTCTACCTCCTAGGTTTCAATTACTACTTATATTGTGAGCTTAATGTCTTCCCAGATCTCCAATTCTATCCCAATTCTATTAACCTCTAAACACTCATATCCAACTGCTAATTGGGCATTTAATTACTGAATAAATTTCACAAGCACCAAAATGTCCCAATCTAAACATATCATCAGATGTACTTGTTTTTCCTTATGTTTTCCCATTTATGTGAATAGCACCACCATTAACCAGGTTGTTCAAGACTGAAACCTGAGTACTATTCTCAACTCCTCTCCCTCATGCTCTACTTTTAACAATTACCAGGGATTGCAATTCAATTTAAGTGCTAAAGAACAGGAGTCAACTTTGATCTTCCCCAGCCCCCACCATAACACATATTGATTTATATTCACTGTGGCCACTTGGATTACAACAGTCTCTAACAGGAATCTACTCTTGTCTTCCTCAAATCCACTCTCTACTCTGTAGGTAAGTTCTAAACCACAAATCCAACCATGTCAGTCCCTTGTCCAAGATCCTTCAACTGCCTTCCACTACACTTAAGAAACAGTACAAACGAATTAGCATGTGTAGTGGGTTGAATGTCCCCCCAACTCACTGAAGCTTAATCCCCTCTGTAATTGTTGAGGGTGGGAAATCCTATCATGATAATTGAAAGCTGCAGCCTTAAAGAGGTGATTAGATTGTGAGGACCATGCTCAAGTAATTGGATTAATCCACTGATGGTTTAATGGTGGTCATGGGTCTGGTTCAGAGGGCATTAAGAATGAAGAGTTAACTCTCTCTTGCTTCTGCCTTTCTTACAACGTGAGACCCTGCATCATCGAAGTCACCATCAAATAAGGCCATCACCATAAGTGTTCCCTGCATTTTGGACCTCCCTGCCTCCAAACTGTAAGCAATAAATTTCATTTTCTTTACAAATTACCCAGTTCTAGGTATTTTGTCATAAGCAACAGAAATGGACTAATACAGAAAACTGGTACCAGAGAAGTGGGGTACTGCTTAAAACAAATACTTGAAAATGTGGAAAGAGCTTTGGAACTGAGTGTTGGGAAAAGGTTGGAGGAGTCAGAAGAAGGTAAAAAGATGAGGGAAAGTTTGGAACTTCTTAGAGACTGGTTAAATGGTGGTGAGCAGAATGCTGATAGAAATATGGAGAGTGGGGCCGAGCCTGTGGCGCACTCGGGAGAGTGCGGCGCTGGGAGCGCAGCAGCGCTCCTGCCGCAGGTTCAGATCCTATATAGGGATGACCGGTGCGCTTGCAGTGCTCATTGGCTGAGCGCGGTGCGGCCCGGTCTCAAAAAGGACAAAAAAAAAAAAAAAAAAAAAAGGAATATGGAGAGTGAAGTTCATTCTGAGAAGATCACAGATGTAAATAGGAAGAAACTTTGGAAACTGGGGCAAAGATCACTCTTGCTATGAACTGGCAAGGAACTTGGCTGCATTTTGTTCATGCTGAAAAGTTGTATAGAATGTGGAACTTTAACATTATAAATCAGAGTATTTGGCAGAAGAAGTTTCTAAGCAGCAAAGCATTCAGGAAGCTGCATAGTTACCTGCAACAGCCTACACTGAGTTATGGCAGTAAAGGCATGAAGTAAAAGCAGAATCTATAATAGGGAAGCAGAGGGCAAAAAATTGGAAAAGTCTCACCTTGGCCATATAAAAAGTGAGAAAGTCAGTTTGAGAGAGGGGAACAAGGGTATAGCCTGCTGACCATTTGCTAAGGAGATTAGTACCGAAGAAAGGGACAAAAGAGAATGGAAAAAAGACTTTAAAGGCATTTCAGAGTTCTTAGAGGCTGCCCCTTCCATCACAGGCCCAGAGTGCCAAGGGAGGCAGAATGGCCTCCATGGGCTCAGTGCCCAGAGCCACCCTGGGATGCTGGTCCCCATACCCTGACTGCTCCAGCTGTAGCTAAACTGGCCCCAGGTGTGGCTGGACCTGCAGCTTTGGAAGATATAAGCCAGAAGCCTTGGCAGCGTCCACATGGTGTTACGTCTGTAGGCTTGGAGAAGACCAGAGCTGTGGAGGCTTGGGAGCCTCCAACCCATTTATAAAGATGTATGGAAAAGCCTGGGGCCCAGGAAGAGATCTGTTGCAGGGGCAGAGTCACTGCAGACACCCTTCATTAGAGCAATGACAAGCAGAAATGTGGGGTCAGAACTGCAGCAGAACCCCCCCACCAGTGCCATGTATAGTGGAGCCATGAGAGCGGGACCACAATGGAGACCCCAGGACTGTGGAACTACCAGCATGCAAGCCAGCCTATGAGAGCTGAAGCATGGCCAGAGACCAGGACAGCCATGGGGGCGGAGCTACCTGAAGACTTGGAGGCCCAATCGCTGCACCAGTCTGCAGAGGATGCCCAACATAGAGTCAAAGTAAATGATTTACCAGTTTTAAGATTCAATGCCTGCCCTGCTGAGTTTTGGACCTTTTTAGGACCTGTTACTCCTTTCATCTGGCCTATTTCTCCCTTTTTGAATGGAAATATATACCCTATGTTTGTCCCACCATTGTATCTTGGAAGTAGATAGCTAGTTTTGATTTCACAAATGGGACTTTGGACTTTTAAGCTGGGACAAGTTAAGACTTTGGGGCTATGGAGATGAAACGGAATGGAAATATATACCCTATGTTTGTCCCACCATTGTATCTTGGAAGTAGATAGCTAGTTTTGATTTCAGAAATGGGACTTTGGACTTTTAAGCTGGGACAAGTTAAGACTTTGGGGCTATGGAGATGAAACGTCGTATTTGTATGTGAAAAGGACATGAGTTTTGGGGGGCCAGGAGCAGAATTCAGTGGACTGAATGTCCCCCCCTCCCCAAGTTCACTAAAGCTTGATCCCCACTGTAACTGTTGAGGGTGGGAAATCGTATTGATAGTTGAAAGCTGGGGCTGTAAAGAGGTGATTAAATTGTGAGGACCATGACGAAGTAAATGGATTAATCCATTGATGGTTTAATGGTGGTCATGGGTGTGGTTCTGAAGGCTTTAAAAGGAGAAGGAATGAGGAGTTAGTTCTCTCTTGCTTCTGCCTTTCTTGCAACTGATACTGGGCATTGCTGAAGTCACCACCAAAGAAGGCCCTCACTGTAAGTGTTCCCTGGACTTTAGACTTCCCAGCCTTCAAAATGTAAGTGATAAATTTCATTTTCTTTACAAATTACCCAGTTCCAGGTATTCTGTCATAAGCAACAGACACACACTAATACAGCATTACATACGGGTTTTCACAACTTGGGTCCAATCTTCCTCTCTAGTTCATCTCTTAACCACCTCTCCTCTCAATTCTCTACTCAAATCAAATTGAACTGTACTTGCACTTTTCAGAATGGGTTCTATTCTCTCACCTTCAGGACTCTGCAGCCTTTGCTTGCACCACTCCTGCTCTTATTTACCTGGCTTCTCCTACTCATAATTCAAGTCCAAGCTTAGATGTCTCTTTCATAAGAAAGTGTTCCTTGAAGGTCTAAGAATGTGTTAGGTGCCTTTACATGAGCATCCACAGAACCTGGGTTCCTACTTTCATTCTACAATTTACTACACTGCATTACAATTCCCTTTTTGCTTGTCTACCATCCACCTGGACCTGAAAACTCCTTAAAGATAGAGACCTAGTACCTACCACAATACCAAATATCTATTTGTACCCTATAAAGTTATAAAATGATGCACTAAGTGAATGAATGACAAGGAAACTGACACAAGGAGGGCTGACTGCAATTCATAAGGGTTGCTGAATACAAGGCTGCTAAAATGAACATCTCTGATTAAGAATAATAAAGGTGATGCTCTCATGGGGCAAGTTTGTAAAACGCAATTAATTCTGCACCCTCAAAACCAGAGGCCTAACTGATAAGAGTTCCAAGATGAGTTTCTATTCCTCACCACTTGTAGGGGAAAAGCAAGGTTTCCAAGATTTCAGCTGTGTCTTTAGAGGCTGGAGTTGGATGTTTGTTGACTCTTGGGATGTTCCATGACATATCAAATCCTTCCATGGCACCGCTGGTCCCTGTGGACTAGCTGGGATCTGAAATTAGTAAAACATGGTTAGTTTAATGAGAAAATCCCTAGAGAAACTGCTTAGTAAAAAAATCTCAAGGAGGTCAATGAGGATATCTCTAGGGATGAAGGACAGGGTAATAAGACTATTTAAGAGTAGAGACAGGTATGGCCCTAGTAGTCACTTCAAGGTTATGGTTCAGTAGATACAAATTTTCAACCGACTGTTTTGATGTTACCACATGCCCCAGGCTGTGAATTTCTTTTCCCACACCACTTCTCTCTGTTCCCACCTGATGTCCTGGATCATCAAACTCCCTCTCCAAATCCTCCAACAGGGTCACGGCTTCCTCGCCGCTTTTTGGATTGTGTTGCTGAACCCAGATCTGCAACTCCTCAGGCAGGATGCTCAGGAACTGCTCCAACACTAGCAGCTCTAGGATCTGCTCCTTGGTGTGCAACTCTGGCATTAGCCACTGATAGCAAAGCTCCTGGAGTCGGCCCAAAGCCTCCCGGGGCCCAGGTGTCTCCTGGTAGCAAAACTTTCTGAATTGCTGGCGAAACAATTCTTGGCAGGATAGGGTACTCCCATTCTGTTTAAGTTTCTGACCCCAGGAAATGCCGTCTTCTACTTTTACTAGTGTTAGTTCTTGTTCCTGAATATCCTGAGATATCAAGGCTGAAACTGCTCTGGATTCCACAGCCATTCTGGGCTGAAACTGCTTAGCAAAAAAGCTGAGTACAACTGGGTGCTGTACTTCAGAAAGAGTGTGAGTAATCTCTTCTTTCCTGAAAGATACAAAAGCACTGTTAATTCACAGCAGTGAAAAATTATCTCTAAGAACTCTTAATAATAAAGATCAGTCACTCCAGTAATAAATACTCTGAAAGGGAGCATGTTTGAGACTGTAACTAAATAAATTATAATCAAATGACAAACTAAAAATCATTCACCTTATTCAGTGTCTCCCATTATGTAGAATTCCTACAACTAAAGACAGAAGAAATTATGTTAGAAGCAAAAGTATGTAGTATTAGCATGAGTCACATAGTGAGAAAATTATTTTTCAATTCTCTTTCAATCCTTATTGCATAAAGGAAGAAATTCTCAGTTTTTAATATGTATGTAAAACTGGCAGAACTCTCTTTTTAATGAAGTATAGTCCTTAGACTCATACTTTCAAGGGTAACACTATCTAGGCAGAGTTTAATAATGCTGATTTTTAAAATTTATTTTTAGTTATCTTCTATCTCTACCAGGTAATGTTGACTTTCATTTAAGGTAGTAGTAAAATATTTTAAAATTCACATTAAACATGAGTTGATTTAAATAAAAATATTATGTGTTCTTTGCCATTTGATCACATTTCTTCAACAAACACTGAGCCACCTACTATGGGCCCTGTCCTGAGCCAGGCTTTAACGTTTTTGTTCAAGAATAAATGAATCTAATGAGGAATTAACCAACAAGTATTATGTATTACGTAAAATGCCTACCACGTGTTCAAAAACATGTTAGTACAGACACAAAAGCAGCAAAAAAGTCAACCTCAGTTCTCAAAAAGCTTAGACTATCCTGGGAGTAAACGTTTTTTAAAGCGAAATACGCTCACAAATAACTATGTGTTAAACTTTGTGATACAGATCAAACACCTGATTTTAGGATGGGTGAATATCGATAGGAATGTACGCCCTTGGGTTTGCCGGGCAGATGAATAAAATTTATCCTAACACTACGATTAAGGTTAGAGATTAAACAATATTTACGCAACAAATATGTGGTTTATTAACCAGCCCCGATGCAGTAGCCCTTTTATTTTTATATCCCCGGTACAGCCATAGCATTTGCGAAGTCACACAGGTGGGGAAACAACTGGAAAGAGGAAAGCAGGTGCTTGACTGCTGGCTTCCTCCGCGTCCACTAAGAGGCTCAGAGACGCCGCCCGGGCCAAGGGGCTGCGACCCGGTCACGAACAGGCCGAGAAGCGGGGCTCCTCCACCCCACGCCCGCCGCCGGGGACGCACGCCCTCCCTACCCTCCCTCCGCCTGGGGGTCCGCGTTCCTCACCGCGAAGCCCAGGAGCGGACAGAGAGGAAGAAGCCGACCCCGAGCGACCAGCCACAAAGAACGGAAGTCCACGGGCGCGGCCTTCCGCTCGCGCGCCCTACCGGGCTCCGTCCGCCCCGCCCCTTGCTCACAGACAGCCAATCAGAGCCGCGGGCTCCACTCTTCCCGTCGCACTCTGGCCATGGCCGTTGTCCGATGGGGCCTGACTGCCCGGGCGAGGGTGCGCAGAGAGGAGGAGGTCCTACCGAGGGGCGGTCCCTTCCCAGAGGGCACCTCTTCCGCCTGGACTGCCTCCCACCCTGGCCTTCTCCACCCACCGCCGCCATTCTTGGTGTCACGTCATTCCCTGGTAATCCCACTCCTGGTTTTCTAGGAAAACATTCAGATTTTTTCCTGTAGTTCTAGTATTTTTCCAGGCTCTCTGATGAAAGGAAACGCTAAGATGAGCGGGCTGAATAAAAAGTAGCAATCACTTCTACTGCTCTTCTCTTTGTGTGTCATTTGAGCGTTACAACAGCTCTGTGCGGTAGCTGTATCGTCCCTATGTTCTAGTATTTTTCCAGGCTCTCTGATGAAAGGAAACGCTAAGATGAGCGGGCTGAATAAAAAGTAGCAATCACTTCTACTGCCCTTCTCTTTGTGTGTCATTTGAGCGTTACAACAGCTCTGTGCGGTAGCTGTATCGTCCCTATTTACAGGTGGACACATTGCCCAGAGTCAGGCAGCTTGTGACCAGGGACGCCGAAGGGGCATAGTTCGAGGAGACTTTGGTGTCCCAGATTCCGGCCTGGAAGGTGGAGGTTTCCCATTTTTCACTGGAATCTCGCTGGCATTAAGTCTTACTATTTAAATTTTTCTTTGGCCGTACTAAGCTTGAAGTTAAGAGATTTCCCGCTCATGTTTATTGACCAGTTACGTTTCTTCAGACAAATGGCTGTTCCCGTTTTTTAAAATTAAGGTGTTAGTATTTTCTTTTTTTATTTGTGAGAATTTTTTATTAAGGATATCAATTCTAATTTCTTACGAATATTTTTCCACTTACTTATACTATGTTTAAAATGTTAGTAATTAGGATAATGTGATACGTACATAGAAACAAATAAGTTCTTTGTGAGCTAAGACAAAACACATTTGGAAAAAAATGTTTATTAGCATGAGTGACTCACTAAATAATGGGCTCGGCCCGATATTTCTTAATCATTGTGAAATGACTACAGCAATTTTACAAAGCAAGAGAACAAATTGTGTTTCAGTTATGTATTGCTGAATAACGAACCACTCCAAGATGTAGTGACTAAACACAGATGTGGACAGGAATTCAGGCAGGGCTTAGCCGAGATGGCTGGCCTTACGGGGTGTCAACTATTGTGGTTTTAACTGGGGCTGAAAGGCCCAAGATGGCTTCACTCCTATTAACGGGGTCTTGGTGCTGCCTTTTGGCTGGAGCTACTTCATCCTCCTTCATAAGGCATCTGTCCATGTAGTCTTTCATTTTTCAGGAGTTTAGCCCAAGCTTTCTTACACCACGACTGGCTTCTGAGAGGCGAAGGAGGAAAGGAAGATGCTTGTTCTCTTAAAGCCTACATCTGGAACTGGCATTATATCCTTCTGTATTTCATAGACAGGAGGACTAGATTCATGGAAAAGAAAAATAGATTGCACCTTTTAATGGAAGGAACAGCTTGAACATAGGAAATTTTGGCAGTTATCTTTGCATCCAGCCTACCACACCTTGTTATATTGAGAAGCCTGCTATTTAGGAGTGGAACTGTTGAAAGAGAGAAGGTATGTTAGTTAAAATCCTTACTAAATGTCCTTACTGTTTGAGCCTTTTTCTTCTTACCCTATGTAGCTAGATGCATGGAGGAAAGGCTATACCCAGGATTGGTTATTCAGTGTCTTGACAATATTGTCAAGGACCCAGGTTCACTCCTTTTTGCTCTGCCATCTTTTAGTGTGTTGGTTTGTTCAACAGTCTGGTTTCCCTTATGGTACTAAAATGGCTTTCTCAGTTCTGGATTACAGATGATGTCCAGAAGCAGAAAAAGGGGACACCCTTATCTTCTGCCCCCTTCTAAGACCAAGAAAACTCTCTTCCCCCAGTAGATTTCCCCCTCATGTCTCATTAGCTAAACCTGCTTCAAGGGCTTGTGCCTATCACTGACAAGGGAGGTGGGGGCTCTATGATGGGCTTAGGCCAATTGAGATTCATATCCCAGGTCTGAGGAGGGAGCCAACCTCTCCTGAAAGACACAGATGCCCTGGGGAGGGCTTATGAAATTAGGATTATGTTTAAAAAGCTGAAAAGGGGGGTAAATTGAATGCTGAGTGTGCAATAGTAACATCTACTTCAGTGGGTAATCTGATTCCCCTGTATCCGTAAGAGAGTGAAACACTAGTAAAAAAATTTCAGATTCCCTGTCATTCCTTATAAGATGGTACATACACTTAAAATATAAATCAATTACTTAGTTGCAAGAGATGTAGACTGGAGTTTTAGAGCTAATTACTAGGACTTGCATTAAATTTCCAGTGGGATAGCAACTGATTACCTCTTAGAGCCTTAGCCAACAATTTCCAGGCACATGGCTTGAGAAGGTATGTCAGTTAAAATCCTTACTAAATGTCCTTACTGTTTGAGCCTTTTTCTTCTTACCCTATGTAGCTAGATGCATGGAGGAAAGGCTATACCCAGGATTGGTTATTCAGTGTCTTGACAATATTGTCAAGGACCCAGGTTCACTCCTTTTTGCTCTGCCATCTTTTAGTGTGTTGGTTTGTTCAACAGTCTGGTTTCCCTTATGGTACTAAAATGGCTTTCTCAGTTCTGGATTACAGATGATGTCCAGAAGCAGAAAAAGGGGACACCCTTATCTTCTGCCCCCTTCTAAGACCAAGAAAACTCTCTTCCCCCAGTAGATTTCCCCCTCATGTCTCATTAGCTAAACCTGCTTCAAGGGCTTGTGCCTATCACTGACAAGGGAGGTGGGGGCTCTATGATGGGCTTAGGCCAATTGAGATTCATATCCCAGGTCTGAGGAGGGAGCCAACCTCTCCTGAAAGACACAGATGCCCTGGGGAGGGCTTATGAAATTAGGATTATGTTTAAAAAGCTGAAAAGGGGGGTAAATTGAATGCTGAGTGTGCAATAGTAACATCTACTTCAGTGGGTAATCTGATTCCCCTGTATCCGTAAGAGAGTGAAACACTAGTAAAAAAATTTCAGATTCCCTGTCATTCCTTATAAGATGGTACATACACTTAAAATATAAATCAATTACTTAGTTGCAAGAGATGTAGACTGGAGTTTTAGAGCTAATTACTAGGACTTGCATTAAATTTCCAGTGGGATAGCAACTGATTACCTCTTAGAGCCTTAGCCAACAATTTCCAGGTACATGGCTTAACTTTCAGTATTCTCAATTATATCACTGCCCTCAAATATCATTCCCTCCTTTTCTCCCACTTCCATCTCACACACGTGGGGCCTGCTTTAATGTGAAAGTCTTTGTCTCATGAATTATTGAATCAAGGGTAGGAAAATGTAATTTTTTTTCTCTGCTTCATGTTGTCTTTATTCTTGTTTCTGTTTTTTATATGTATGAAAATTGTTAGATAATATCTGCCCCAGGCATTACTAGTGATTGGTGAGTAAGACTATTCATTCAGTGAAGTACAATTGCTCGATTTACTTTATCATTCAACAGCAAGGTTTC